GTGTGAGGGCCGCTTTATAAATATACCTTTATGTATATATTTTTTTGACGTCCAAACGGCCTCGTCCAAATGGCTATGTCCATTTGTCCCTATTCGCCAAGCAAGGCAAGTTAGTGAATTAAGTATAACTTAATTCCGAAATCATAGAAATAATTGTTTTTTAGAGACATACTTTTTTTTGACGTAGTCAAATTTTCGTATTCATTGTTATTAGTTTTGTAAAAATTTATGAGACAGTAAATTCAACACAACGAAAATTAATATAACGCAAAGGTATTGTCTTACTGTTTAAATTTTCCTGCCGTTTAATTATGAATATATGTATTATACTCGTAGAATTAACAATGTGATATATATGTGATATACATACGTATACTTTATATTATTTATAGTCAGATACACGTAATTCACTCGTTATTTGTTTTAACTTGATGGACAGTAAAATGGGTTGAATGAAAACGTATACACATATATTTTGTATACATGGACCACTAGCCTAGTGGTTAATAAAAAATTTACCATCAATTGACCGTGGAGATGGAGGAGGAAACGGAGTTGGTACAGATAAAGACATGCTAGAGCTCTGAGACACAGAATATTCTTCACTGCCACTCATTATATTATTAAATTTAGGTAGAGTACAATGTAATATAATATGTAATATACGAGATCAAACCAAAAATTACGAAATGCAATGAACACGGAATAATAAAGCCAACTAAATAGGTACCTACTCATAATATTTTATTGTACGTTTACCGAATTAAAGTAGATATGAGGTACATAATGAAGTTATATCTATAGAAAAATACCTTATAACATGCATAAGATAAGGTATATGCAATTAATAGACCTTAATATCGTTGATATTTTGGAAATTCATACTATTTTAAGTAATATCTTATAAAAAAAAAAATCAGTTTTGCGATCAATTTGGCGATAATGACTAACATTACAAATATGTAATGATTACTGATTACTTTGAGAGATGATTAAACGATTAATGATTAATGAAAATTATAAAGTAATCGTAATCGATTACGTAATTTAATCGTGAATTAATCGATTACGCCCAACACTGTTGTAGAATCCAATGTATCGATAATAACTAGATTAAGTATGTGTGCCAAACACCACACATAAATTGCTTTGGGGTTTTTATTCTGAATATATGAACGTAGTCCTAAGTACTCCCCTTGCATAGCTGCAGCACCATCGTATGATTTGGCGCATAATTTTGTTTTCCAATCAATTTAATACATTTCTGTAATTGTACAAAAAGTATTATACAGCCCTTTTCTTGTTGCATTAAACGCTGTAACCAAACTTAATAAATGTTCTTCAATGTTTCCTTCATAAGCATATCTAACAACAAAAGAAAATTGTTCCAGACTTGTCACATCGGTCGTTGTGTCATTGATAATAGAAAATAATCCAGCTGCTTTGAGTCGTTTTACGATTACGGATCTAATAATTTTTGCAATAATTAACAATTATTTATTTTGACTTTCATGAGACATGAAGGTAAGTCTATTATGATTGTTTGAATTTATTTTTTTCTAAATTTTTTATTTTTATTTTTTTTTTTTTATTTATTTATTTATACGGACAAAAGTCCAGCTCACAATATATTTGTAAGATAACAATAATATAATACAATTTAAAATAGTAAAATATAACACAATAAAAAATGAAAAGATTAATAAATCGAATAATAATAATAATAATAATTATAATAATAATAATAATAACAACGACAATGATAATAAAAATAAATTCAATGTTTTATAATATAATTAACTATTTCCCGAGGACATTAAAATGTTTATGGGGTCGTATGACGTAAACTTTTTAGAAGAATGAGGAATATAGAATGAATGATTGTTACGAGTGTGGTGGCTATTAACTTTGAAATTTAATTGACTTAATAAAAATGAATCATCAATCTCGTTATTTAGCAATTTGGTGAGGAACGTGTTGTATGATAAGTGTCTTCGTACATTTAGAGATTTTAAATTCAACAATTTTAAAATATCATCGTAGCCAGAGTGAGGAGTTCTTTGAATATTACCTTTATGACATAAAAATCTGAGAGCTTTATTTTGAACTTTATCAAGTTGATCATTATGTCCTACATTGTTGTGATTCCAAATGAGTGGGGCGTATTCTAATAAGGAACGGACTAGTGAGGTATAAAGGCATTTTAGAGCAAGTGGATCACGAAAATCGGAGCAGTTTCTTTTTATCATACCAAATACCGATAAAGCTTTGTTTTTAATCGCTGATACATGAGCATTAAATAATAGTTTGGAATCAAATAAAATCCCAAGATCTTTAAATAATGACGAACGATGTAGGGTTATGTCACATATATGATAATTAGAATGTAAGGGATTGTTTTTTTTGGAATAAGTAACAATTTGGCATTTATCAATATTTAATGAAAGACTATTTGAAATGGTACTGAAGTGTTGATTTATGATGACTCATCAGCTTAATTAATTCCAAGAAATTACCACGATTATCACTTGAAACGTTTTCACCGTGGCCTTGTAAAGCAATGTTTTGCCTAGCAGTGAAAATGATTACTTCAATGAAAATTCTCAACTCATCTCTATTTTCCACGATATATCGATTCTTAGAAAGACGCAAGGTCAAGTCTATTCCATTATTTTTTGAGAAAAGTCTATGGCTTATTTTAGACTATAAGTATTCAATAGTTTGTTCGTGAGTCTCTAAGTTACGTTTTAAATTTTGACAACTATTTGTTCCTTTATGTGCCAAAACAGCCTTTTGGGCTTTAGGTAATCCAAATAATTTACAAGATACACAATATACCTTATTTTGGGAATGTGAATATGATAACCAATTTCGTCGCACTTGAACATTTTTTATAGTTTTGTGATAGTAAGATTCGTGAAAAATTCTTGATACACCATTTGGATCCATACTTTTGGGAAAAATACTTGATGGTAGTTCTAATGGAGAAGGCTGACATGGTCCATATTGCATAAAATATGTTAACATTTCACTTGAAATTTCTTCTGGAAAATTTCCAGGATCGTTCGGATATAATTAAAAATCTAAAACATGATTAAATTTTAAAATTATATTATAATTTAAATTTTTGGTTTGTATTACAATAAAAAAGAGTTATTAATATAATCGAATATTATATCGAAATATTTAATATAATAATCGAAATTAATAAAACTAATTTACTAATAAATACCTGTTAGTGGATAAATTTGTGCATTTTTAGCTGAGTAAACTAAAGTTTGTAAATGTACCAAAATTTATAAATTTAATAAATTATATTACTATACATTATAATATTTTAATACTGAAAAATTACATATTTCTAATTTCAAATGGACTAATATATTTAGTTGGCTATTTATAATTTATTTATTTTTAATTTGAAGTTTCTATCAAACATCGCATTTGATCTAAGATGGATAGTAACTAGTTAAAAAGTTAAAAGTTACTTTTTTGATAACTTTTAACTTCACTAGATAAAAAAAAAAGAATATTAAGTAACAAATGCAACTGTTCAAATAATCAAGATGTATATGTCTAAATATTAGCAAATAGCAATGAATTAATTTTGAACAGGATTTTTATAAATAATTAATTTAAATAACCAACAATAATTACAGTTTAAAAATGTAAATATTTTTAACAGATTAAATGTAATTGGTATTACAAAGTTACTTACCTGATTGTTTAAATTTTGGAAATTTTGCATCACGTTCTATAAGCTTAAAAAATTTGAAATATAACTTGAAGCAATTCTTTTAACAGACTTAATTTTTTTTTTTACAAGATTCCTTGTGTCGAATCCAGTTGGTATTGTTCGTAAAATCACGATTTTTTTCTACAACTGGGACACAGTGAATTCATCTTTCAATAGAATGCAATTTAAATTAAATTTTACGGGTGTATTAAATAAATAACGTAATACTTAAATAAAATAATAAATATGAAAATGAATCCAAGTTTCTGCTTGAGAGTTGAGACTACAATATTGCAATAATAACAGTATAAAACTGTGTCACTGAACACTGATAGAATGTGAACACCAACACACAGTCACGATTCATATTTATTGATACTAATCAGTAATTGGCAGTTTCGGGAAAATACGTCTGCATGTTAAATAAGCATTTGTTTTATTTATAATCCATGATTATGTCTCTACTCTACATGAATATGACTATTTATATATTTATTTAATTATTACGTTGTGTCATCATAAAAAGAACTCAATGTATTTTCAGTACTAGCTAGCTACTTATATAATACTGATATTTCGTATTTTTTATATTACCATAAAATTTTGAAGATGCAATGACTAAAATTTCAGTTAAAATTGTTTTAAATTAATTAAGCGTTTTTGATATTTATAAGGAGATTTATGGCTCTAACGTACAATTCTTTAATTTTCCATGACTTCTTATCTTAAAAAATTTCCATCTATTAATCATTTTAAATAAACGGGCAATATTCAAACGCATATAAATATCTAGTCTAGAATTTGGAACTATTATACTATCTTCTTCATCTTGAAGAATCTTCAAACTCATTTTAAATCATTGAATCTTAGACAAACCATAACAAAAATCACGTGTAACAGCTCCTGTACGTGCATTAACCTGCTCCTCATTGAGAAATTTACGATTACTCTGAAGGGTCGAGGCTACAAATTCTAAAAAGTTGGTTACAAATAGTTAAAAATTAAGAAAATATGATTACAATTATTGTGGAAAGTATTTTTTGTAGTGGGGGGGGGGGGCTAACTTCACACACGTCAATTTTTGTAAACATAAATTTTATCTACATATAATATTAAAAAAAATCATGTATAGTTGATATATTTGTAGGTTTAATCAACGGAATATAATATAATATAAAAAATACAACAATAATTTAAGTATATAAATATAACAAATATCATAATATAATACGCGTATCAAATACGAGATGGAATATCTCGTGTTTTTATTTTTTTACAGATTATTTGGATGAAGAGAGTGCAAAACTTGAGTCTAAACATTTTGACTGTTACGTTATAAAACCTATTGACGACGGCGGTCATTAGGTAAGCTCGTATCACATAGATTGCAATACGATTAAGTATTATAGTTTTATGTTTTATTTGAAAATAATTTAAAAATCAATTATTCTCAGTGGCGTAGTGAACATTTATGAACAATGATACACAGCATATAATTTTTACCCATCACATATCATTCGTACAAATAAAATGAAATGTTTTAAGGTTGCATAATTCATGGTTTTATGATTATAATTTATGTTCATTTTGGGATTTTATGATATAAATTTTTATTTTAGTACTATATAAAACAATAAATATTAATGAAACGTTTAAGTACCTGTACAATAAATAGTACCAAATTGCAATCATGAAACCTTATAGACTTATTAAAAATAATTTTACCATGCCACTTTTCTCAAGGAACTACTGTTTACTATTTTTTATTATCACGATGCATAAATATTGTACATATTCTGTGCGTAAATGAATCTCTTGGTTTCAACCTTTATGAAAACATTTTTCTGTTTGGGTATTATAACGGTGTTTTTAAGGCGTCACGCGTTGGAAATCTATATACAAGTTCAAAATTTAAAATATAAAATAATTTTTAATAAGTTGAAAAATCAACTAAAGTATGTCGTCACCTAAATTTTACTCAAATTTCATACCCCACGGCCGAATAAATAAAATATTTTATACAAACATGTCAATGTCATTCGTTTAAGTTAGAGATTTTTTAACAGTTAAATTACCTATTAATAATTATAATAAGATGATTGATGATATGATGAATAATATGATTAGGTATATCATCATAATACCACTCAAAACTCATACATATGTTTTACTATACTGAGTGAATGAGTGGTTAGTTTGTCAATTAATATATTATTTTACTTTAATTATATATGAAGTATAAAATATTGATATACCTACTATACATTTAACTTACCTAATGATATGTATTAATGAATTATTAACTTCCACAGAGACAAGAATTCTAAATTATTCATAAAATTTATTTATAATAAAGAATTCTGCAATATATAATATAATTAACTATAAATTCATAACCCGTTTACCGAAGGATCATTTTACTCCTTGGTCCTTATAATATTAAATCGTTTGAACGCCATACCGTTGTGATTATGTAAAGTAATTAATGTGACTTGACAGAAAACAAGAAACCGCCGAAAAAGGTATAAACAATTATAATTAGAAGGTATTTTTTTTTCCTTTAACGATATATAACGCCGTTCAAATTATAAGATAACCACAGCGGGTCCAGAGCATTTTGAATTTTGAAGCATTGTTGAAAACAGTCAAAAACGAAAACCCGTTGAATCGTTTATTATTTTCATGCAACGTGAAATTCGTATTTTACGTAATATTTCGTTTATCCTCGTGCGTTTACCACACTAAAATCGAAGTGGCTGTTATAAAAATCGTTTTTAATTTTTTTTCTTTTTTTGGGCACATTACTTCAAATCGAATCGCTAAAGATCTCTCGATGGATGAATATTTTTTCGGGTTTTTTTTTTAAATTTTTTTATTTTTATTTTTTACCTATGCAAATGGAATCGCCTCACACCCGGACATCGCCTAACGTTGGCTCATCGTACGGGTGTGAATATTCTTCTTGGCTTTAGTTCCAACAATAATATGCCAACGATTATTGCGTTACAGTTGTTATCCGACTACGATGACGCGGTGCACGACATGATGCTGGACTTTATCGGCTACGGGCGTCCGGGTTATGAGTTTCTGTCGTACGCCGAAAACGCTATGTTCCCGTTCGAAACTCCTTCGTTCTGCAGACCTTCGAGATATTACTTACTGTACAACGATGATGTGGGCGTCTACGACGTGTATCAGGAGCCCGCTGCGGACGCTGTTGCTAAGCGCGAAAACTGTGCCGAGTGGAAAAGCAAAGCGTTGGACATCGTCGACCCGGTGACCGGTGAAAACTACAGTTTTCCGTCGATTGATTTTCGTCGAACCGTTTGTTTCTTTTCCCATACGTCGTTTTCGCCACCATGTTAACCTGTCTCGTTTTGGTATCACGCTGCGACCGCGTTCGCGGTTACATTGTACCGACTACGACTGCGGTATACCACAATAATTTGCATTACGCACCATTACCTATGTTTATGGTCAGTCGAATAAAATATTTGCTTGTTATTTAATTGTTAACGGTCGTTGATATTGCGTTTTTGGATCGAAAAAAAGCGCTAATACACGAAAACTTCTTCGATTTACCAGCCAATCAAAGTATGCTAAATTTATGTTCAACGATGATTATCAGATACTGGGTAAGTATTGTTCACAATACTGAAATAGGACACAGAGTGCGATCTAAAAAAAAAAATATATATTACTCGATTTCCGTAATAGTAATGTCCATAATACCAGTGTTACCACTGACTTTACATTATACTACAATATTATGAAATCATATATGGGCATCATTAGTTATACCCAAACACCGGAATAGATTAAGTAACGAATCTGTACAATGGCTACTTTGTATCAACTCTTAATCAAAAGAGATCTTATAAATTAAATGTTATAGTCGTGATTTTGTAAAATTTCTCTTTAATTACAGTTTGAGTATTTACAGTAACATTTTTTTTTTTTTACATTAAATATGAATAATAATTTGTAGACTATTTTCTTATTATATATTAAGCCATCTTAGTTTAACTATTTTATATTATTATAGGTAAATTAAATAATTGTTTATATATGAATTATATACATATCCTTTATATATATATGTTGTACTAGTTTATTTATATCTTATAGATAATGAACAATTATCAAATTCTATAAACTCTCAGTCTAGATAGGGACATAATTTTTCTCTTTAAATTTTAAATAATGCTAGTCTTGCAGAAAGACAAAGACTATAATAGCTCTGCAAGACCACCATAGTCTTGATCTTGGTCTTGGTTTACTCATCACTAATGTTATTGTATAATATATGCAATAAAAGTTAATTTTGATATCAAATATTTTTATCATCATTTTATAATATGCGTATGGTTGTTATTTATTCACTATAAAAACATAAACTTAAATTATAGGTAGGTACTTGAAGTAAATTTTTTTATCCAGCCCCTTCCCTTTTTAAATTCTAGATTCAATCTTGATTGCATGTAAATTATGTGATCATTTTAGCAATGACAAGGAAACCTAAAATCACACCATCTTGTATAAAATGTTTACGTAAAGTAACTACATTCTGGTAAAACTAGGTACGAATAAAATTTTAGATTTTTTTTTGAGATAGTCAAATGATCGACTTAAGTATTAAGGTTGGATATCCTTTAGATTTACTTGGACACTATCATCCTTGTGTTTCATTAATACACATGACTTTTCATAGTTCACGCGATCTGTCGGTTTGTTATGGCAAATTTTGAAACGTAGTGTATAGTTACTCAACTAAAACGCACTGCACGATATAGATCAAATGAATATTAGTTTTTTTATATAAACAAATTTCAACTGATTTCTTCTTTATGGAGTACGGTCCAAGTATAAAAATTATACTATCTTTAAGTGTAGCCATATAATCATATTCTGTTTGTCAATAATTTAAAATTTAACATATTAACCTATGTTATTTTTATGTCATATTTCATTGCAAATCTGTTTTTACCTTAAAATGGTTTAGGGCTTAAACCACTTTACTTTAGTTTCAGATACACTCGGATGTGTTAGATATTTAACTGTATACATTTTATTAGCAATCTTTAAGAAGTAATTGTGTAATAAGTTATATCATACAGAAGCGAACAAAATCGTATTGATTCTACCTCAGTTCTTTCGTTAGTCAACTTCTAAGTTCCTTTTCGAATTAATTAGACACCATATTCCTTTTCTAGTTACTGCGCAAACTACCAATTATGGTAGGAATAACCCTGTAGACCGCATGATACGAATGGTCAATGCGAGCGTCAGTTATCTGAACTTTAAAAATTATAATTATCACTATTTTACTATATTATTTATATTATACTATTTTATATATACTGTTTCTATACCTACCTATACTATTGTTTTTATTTATTATTTTATTAGCTGACCCGACAGACGCTGTCCTGTTATAAATATTGAATTCGAATTGGTATAATTAATAAAAAAAATATTTAAAAAAAAGTATTTATTATTCTAATGCTTTATGATAGAAAACATTCTTAGTTTTTTTTCTTGCGCATATGTAAATAGTTTTGTTGGTATTCCGACACGGGAACAGAATAAATATAACTGCCCATATCAAAAACATGGATTTTTAAGATTGATGCCACAAACACTTAGCAACTGCCCTTAAAATTTATTTATCGGCATTTCAAATGCTAGCCACATTGGAAATTGCAACCATTTAAAACTTGCTAAATAGAATGTCGTTCGAAATCAAAGGAATCCGTGGAATCAAAAGTCTTCGTTTTTGTACTTCCCTTTCAAAATGATGGCTTCGAAGACGTTGTTCATTAATTTCTTTACGTCAAGTCGGATGTTATTACAAATATGTTGCTGGTTTATATTCTGCAACATACGAGTAATGATTACCGACCCGATTTTTAATTGCAGATTATGAGGTGATAATCCAGGCAATTCCAGCGAATTTAAAAACTCTGTTGGATAGTTGATAACATAATTTTTGGTTAGTAACGGAATAAATCGATTTGTTTGTCATTAATTTGCCAGTTATCTTATTTTTAATCTGAAAATTAATTTCGTTGACATCAACATTTTTTGCAGCCAATATAACTTTTTTGCTCAACTATGCATGATTTTTATAATTTTAAGCAATGTGTTCCCAAATGTTTGGGAAAACCTTCTCGATGACTTCGGGCCATATCTATGTATCCAAACGATGAGTCAACAAGTATTTTGTCATTACCAATATCGAGTAATTGATTGGAAAAACTTCTCCAGATTGGTCGTTCTGCAATTTGATTCGCATGTTCATATTTAATTTTAGCGTTTTAACGTCTTTCCATAAAAAGGATAACTTTAAACATGCGTTAAGTTCGTCGGTTGGCGTTGATTGTGGCATTACTGGTGATGTTTGGCGTCTTAGATTAAAATTAATGTTTCATTGTGCATTTTTATTTAATTTGCAAATCTGCATTCGATGTTTGCACAATTTATGTTTATTTTATTATTTCTATTATTGTATTTTATTTTTAAATTATTTTTTATTATTTGTTTATTTATTTATTTATTTTTATTTCATGTTTATTTTATTTTATGTTTAAATTTTATGTTTGCAACTTATGTTTGCGCAACTTTCTTCTATAAGAATCTTCTCCTGAAAATAACAAATACAACTAAAAAAGAATTAGCGAAATCGGTCCAGCCATTCACGCGTGATGCCGTGACCAAGGGAAATAGGGAAATATTCATTTGTATATAGCTCAACCCGTTAAAAATAATAAATATATTTATAAACACTTTTCACTCACTCATTAATTACAACGTTTTAAAGTAAATAAAACGTGTTAACTTGAAATACTGGCTTCTATAATGCTCTATAACTAAAATTTATATAAACAATAAATAAAATTCTGCTAAAATTATAAATCTACGACATATTAAGTCTCAAATAATTCTGAAAATTACTAATCTTATCATAACTTTATTCTACGATCAAGCTATTTCTAATGAAAATGTTAGTTACAAATAGTTCGACAAAAATGTTATAATGTAATACGAAAATATTAGTTTAATAATACACAGTAAACTACTGATAAATAATTCTAACCATAGTTAACTACTACTGAATAAATCTCATAGTAAATTATATTTTCTGTAATAATTAACTTAACTTATCGCAACACTTATTTCTAAGATTAAACTATTGCTTATATTGACTACTGTTACTTATTGTTAAATTATTTTAGCTAATATTAACTGCAGTTATTTATTGCTAAATTATTCTAATCAAAGCGATTTTATAATTGCAATGATTAAGAAAAGTACGTATTATGCAAAAAACAAGAGTAAAAGTTGACATTTTGATACGAAATTTTAGCTAAAAATGCCTTTGTCATCGTTACGTAGTACGATACCAAAACAACAGGACGGGCCAGCCACTCCATCAGCAGAAAGAAGTTTCTAATAATTGCGGCTATTGGCCATAATGACTTTTTTTGGGTCGCCAAATTTTGAAAATTCTAAAAATTGTAAAAATTGGCCTTATAGTTACTTTGAGTTGCCCAGCCTTGGAATATAGTACAGAATATATAGTCACAAGGATATGTGCGGGCCTAGAACATATATATGACGAGCTCTATATGTTACTCTCCTATTTAACACATAGTTTATAACACCAACAGGATAGAAATTTAGATTATCACATTTCACTGACTCATCTCTCTGAGAAATTATGGTTATGCTTCTGGTTAGATCATAACATACATAAATACATTATGCACTCTTTTTAATACACATTAGTACAAATTTTTCGATACTAAAATTGAAAATACAATATTGTGTGTATCGTATTTGTACAACCAAAATGTATGTACGTGTATTTTATTACTAGGATCAATATAGCGATAATGATTGCTTTCGTAATATTTTAAGAGTGATAAAATCAAATAAATTGCAAATTATGGCTGCATTAGTCGACGGCAGATTTTGGATCTTGTTTTAACATAACTTTGTAAAACTATAGCTGTAGATTATGCTTATTTATTTAAATTAGTTCTCAGTTTTCATTACACATAATGAAAAATATTTTCTTGAAAAATACATTTATTATTGTTAATACGATTTTCAGAGTAGATTGTTATATCTCAAGAGTAACTTAATAATAATCAAATTAGAGGAATTAATGAATTGCGATAAAATTATCAATTTTCAAAAAAATTATGATGCACCATATATGATTACTATTTCTATCGCGGTGAGAATAATATTTTATAATTGTGATTTAAACTACTTAACGTTCGAAAGAGCCAGTACATAATCCAAGATGGTTTATAGTTTGCTCTGATATAGTACAATCTTGTGTTACAGTCATCAACGGATAGGTAGACTATATACGTAGTACGTTAGTAGTTGAATAGGCGGTGATACAATTCTAGCCATTATATTGTCTTGTACTGTTTCGTAGGATTATATTATACATAGAACGACGTGTGTTTTATCTTTTTTGTCCCTTTTCTTCTAGTCCAAATGTACCGAACATAGAACGATGGCAGTACAATCATTAAAAGGTTTGTATACACACATAAAAAAAAATATTGCTACTTTATATAGTATTATACTGTGCTCATTGTTGAACTAAAGCTAGGTTGGCGATGGTCCAATAGACTTGGTTCGTTAGTGCATAAAAATAATTCACGGTCCGAATGCTATTTAAAAATTAAAATGTACTAAAAAAAAAAAAATAATCATAAAAAATAACCAATGTACAGTGTGATTTATCTATCTTATGTAAAATTTCGATAAATAATCTTTGAATGTCATTCGTAATTAAAATTTGTGATTCGTTATATTTGCAGTTACCTAATACGTAATTAAATATCAATGGGTCTTAGTTTTAGATGCGTATTAGACATAAAAGAGTATCAATAAATAAATTTTACAAGAAAAATGTTTTTCCAGCAAATATATTGGTTGAATTCACGGAGCATTTACTCAGTTACTTTATTATACACGTTTAATTCAAATCATCATCAACAAATTTAGAAACTTATTATATGTTATTTATTTAATAATAAATAGTTTATGTAAAAAATAAACAAATAAATAAATGCTTATCCTTGAGTATTATTATATTTGTAAAGTACGATAGTACGACAGAGTAGGTTAGGTTAAAAACTCATCGTCAGGTATATAGGAAGTCAATAAAATCATGACTTCATAATTTATTTGTTTATACATTTTTTTTCTTACCTGGTAGTTTCTTCCTTTTTTAGATATTAATTTTAATATTATGCTTTATTGGGTGCAATTGATCAGTACATGATAATTAATAGGTGTAAGTAGACGACGATCTAGGAGATAGTTATGGTGGTCTTCACCCCTCCCCACCCTTAAAAACCATCAAGATTAGGTACTTCATGTTTATTTATTAATTAATAATTATATTATGTTTTATAATTTTTAGATTAGTGTTTCATTAAAAATATTATTCAACATTTGTATATATATAAATGCACATCCACACATACTTGTTCATAAAATCATAATTTCCATCAAACTTCTATGAATATATTAATAGTGACTTATCCGTTTGACGATTGTTGACGAGTAAATATAAATGTAATATTAATTAAAAAAGTTCTAACTTTAATTAATAATTTTATTTTATTATTTTAGAATTGTGTATTGTTTTTAGACTGTCGAAAAAATTACCCCCTTCCCCAAATATAGTTCTAATTCCGCGACTGGGTGTACGTGCATTTTAACCTATGTATTATTATGATTCTTTCACAAACTAAAAGTAGAATAAATTAGATGTAGCTCAATCGAATAGTTTTGCAAGGTCTGTTTCAATAGTGCGATAGTTTATTTTTAAACTGATTGAGGTAACCAACACATCAATGGTTTATCAAATAATGTTTACACTTTTTTTTTTTTATAATGTATAAATTTATTTTTGAGTAATAGTTATAATATGATTAAGACAGACTTCCGGAGTTTGTATACAAACCAAAGTGTGTCAATACGTTTAATAAATAATAAATAACGTAGTCAATGGATTTTAATATATTATTTTGAAGTAGTAATGTATTTTTCACGAGTTGCGTATTGTTGCTTGTTCGAAAGGTTCGTGGAGATGACGCTGATCCATTGAATAGTTCATATTTTTTTTTTTCAATAATAGTAGCTTGGAGCTAAAAAATAAATATAAATAAATGATGTGCGTGGAAGTAAAGATTCTTTTTAAATAATTAATACGTGCGTATTAATTTGTATATTTACTACGGTTTAGGTTCCCCAAGATTCCTAACATCCTTTTATATTCACTGCTATTAAATACATTCATTATGCAAATATATATATATAAATGAACAATTTAATACTTTCTTTGCTCAAAGTTTTTCTTTATTTTCATTGTTAATAATTTTAATAGCACGTCATCCTAATAATATCATGAAACCGTCTTTGTACTATATCCGTTATCCGGCAAGCGTCATCAGCCATCCCAAGTACTTAGAATTAGTATCATACTGTGGCGGTTATTCTGTGATTTTTCTTTTGGTTTTTTCAACAAGGATAACGACGGGATTGAATTCCATTACTCTCCGTGGATTTAGAATTCGCCCCCATTTTCCCACCTCAAAACCGGGATACACAAAATCACCGATATTATACGGTATCCGTATTATCATTGTTATACATATAAATATATACTCACTGAAGAGCCTAATGGGGTGGTGTCCCCACAAGTATGTCCTCTTCACCGGCGACAAGTAGCTGTCTCTCAGGTATGATTTTGCGGGCGGCCTGTACGACGAACTGATTGGAGTATACGGTTTCAGGTGCGGGTACTCCCACCACCACGGGTCCCGGACGTATCTGGATCGGGGAGTGTATACGCTGGGCTCAAACAACTCGGACAAAGGTCGTCTCTTAACACCGCCGGTCGAGAAAATAGGTAATCCTTCCGAAACAACAATAATATACATTTTTATAATGAACTGCGTCCGCCATATTATACCTTAAAACCGGGTTTTTAAAACGTACAACCCTTTTTAAGTTAGGTGCGTTTTTTAGGTACGATCGAGACGTACGTATATTGGTTTACAATTTGGTGTTAATGCGGGGATCAAAAAGATAATATTGGTCCGGATTTGAACAGATACATTGAGTAGGAACATAATGTTTCTAACGTGATAGTATGTACGTGTTTAACGACCGGCAAAAAAATAAAAACGACGATAAGTTAATGCCGGAAATACAACGTACGACTAGAAACGTGTATAAAAGAGGTGGTAATAATATCACAGTAACTAATAAGTTTAGCGCCGTATGAGGTCGTGGTTAGGAGTACATTAACAGGAGGGTTCGATGATTTTTGGTATAAAACTCCGTTTGTACAAGACATTCCTTGGTCATTAATATCTAATTAAGTATACCACTTTTAACAGCCGTTACGGTAAATGCGTTTTGATAAACGACGCGGTCAACGTCTCTTTAATAATAATAATAATAATAATAATACCATCAGGACTCGCAAGTTCATGCACTAAAAACGCATAAATAAGCATGCAATAATGCACTAACATTTGATAAAATACATTCAAATATGCAGTAAAATATTCAAAATATGCATTTGTATGTATTAAAAATATTTCTATACGCGAAAAAAAAGTATAAGCATTTGTTAAAATTACGTAAAAAAAATTATCCATTTGTATTTTTAAAAGTTATATTCTATTTCTTCAATTACATTTTATTAAAATTATATTTAATGAACATGTTGCAATGAAAATAAATTGATAGATCGCAATGCAAACGTTAATAGGAGGAGGGTGGGAGTGGTTTGCAATAACATTGTTTCCGTGGTACTGCTTTTAACTTATAAGACTCAATGTCATACAAAAATAAAAATACTGATAAAATACTAAGATTTTGTAAAAATATTGAGAAAAATAAATTCTAATGAATTCCAGCATTTATTGATTTAATTTTTTTTTTTTTGAACTTCAAAGAAAAACGATTTTGCTGAAGTTACATAAAATAATATCCTCTAATAACACAAAAAAAATCAACTATATGTCATTTATACAATAAACACAAAAACATGCAAAAACATGCTCTATTAAACTTTAGATTTTTATTACTATTGTTATGAAACGGATTTGCATCCCACTTAGCATGTTTTCCAATGTAACAAAAAAAAAAAAAACTCGGAAATACATGAACTTACGGACCTTGACCATTATCTTTATTTGTATTACTATCTATTAGTTATTATATTAGAAATAATCTATGTATCTTGTTGTATTCAAATATTACCGGTTGATAATTGGAAAATAAATAAATCAATAATAAAAAATAAATCCGTTCGTTTGTTTAGCGCTTGAGATACAACGATCGTCTTGTATGTTGCATCTTACGTTGTATTTATATTTCACCAACACACACGTGCATAACTACCATAGCTACGACACTACATGTGTGCGCGTATGCAGTGTTATAAAATTACGTATATAGTATGCAAATATAACATTCCGTACTTGTTTTTCTTTCCCTTTTTCATTACGTGGTACCGTGCACTGTCTTTACTTCGATACGCGCACATATTAATTTATACCTGAGTAATTGTAACCTCTGATGGGCGGCGGTAGGGACTTGGCTCGTCTCTCGGGCAGCGGTAAGGGTTTCTTTGGTTCGTAGTACGCCGGATGGTCTCCGGGGAATATTTTGTTCAATGCATCCATGCGGTTCAAATGATCCGTCCAGTCTTGTAGCGCTTTGAACGGTTCGGTGTGATATGGATCTGAACATGCAGAGCAAACGCATGTTGTTATATAGTACTATCATTATTGAACTGCGATTGTTAACAGTTCAGAGCCGAAAGACCGTCAGTCGCCCGGTATATGAGGTTTAGTGTCAAGAATCATAACTTAATTCCGTATTATTATTTTTGTTATTGTTGTTACATACTAAGCGTTTATATTTCGTCCAACTTAGTGATAAAAACCTAAATGGAAATGCACTGCAAAGAAGTTCAGATATAACAATGAGTGAACTGGTCTTTCTGCCCCCACTGAAGTGCACTAGATACTAATATAATGCATGCAAGTTCATCGTGTGTATGTGTACAAATGTTACAAGTGCTGTGTTATGGAGTGTTACGGATATTATCGACAGGAACAGAATTGGATGTTACGTTTTGATTGTTATATCCGTTGTGAGAGACGACGTGCGGATGGTTTAACGTACAATATAAATACTATTACGAAGAGGAGTAATATTATTATTTATACTTACCCGACAGCTGCGCGAGCTTCTTCGCAACATTGATTTTGTTAAATCACGCTTATACTCGCTCGCATTGATTAAGATTTAATCGTCCCGTATAGTTAATAGAAATGTTTTAAAGCTTCCATTGGTTTAGATTGCGGGTTTAGATGACAAAAAAAAAAAATTAGAATAATATAATATATAACGTGTCATTGAATATAGATAGTAACCACAATCAATGATAATTTGTATACAAATCACGTATAATTGATTATATTAAGTTAGATCACGTTATTATTTTTGTCGAATCCAAGCGGTAGCGGGCTAAAAAATAAAGCTTTAGCAAAATGTGTTTGTTTATATATAAACAATATAATATAGCGTTAACATGGTAACGTGTGTCGCATTTTTACAAGTGTATTCTTTTTTTTTCGAATCGTCGAACATAATATGTACAGTCAAACGTGTTTCGCATAATATTATATTACATTATACACAGTACATTTGACGACTGTTTTTTTCCTTTTAAAATCCAGATGTATGAGGGTTTTCAAAGATATATAGCGAAACAAAGTATTTAAATAGTAAGTAATTATATTTCAAAAAAAAAAAAAAAAAAAAAATTAAATCATATAAACAAAAAATTATAATAAAGGCAACAACAGTTGTGTACATAATACAAAACAGAATTCGGTAACATTATCATACTTTTGGGTGAGTATAAAAATATAGTCATTACGCTACAATATTTATTTCCGATAACACCTATACGTTTGTCTAAGCGATACCTAAATCATAATAAATTAATAATGTGACCGTAATTTTTTTGGTTGGAAAAAAACAAATAAAACAAAATATTGCCTTTTTTATAAAGATAATTATGTATATTATACATGTATAATATATGATGACGATAGTATGATGTATATGTAATGGTTGTGTGTTTACACTGGGAGGGGCAGTGCCGAGTATTGTTCAACGGAATTTCGAACGCAGCAAAGTGAACGAACGGCGATCGAACGTAATTGTTTATTGACGAATGGGTCGGATGGCGTCAAAAGAACGAATTTGCGGTGTGCAAAAGGATCGAATGTGCCGCGTGTCAAAGCGGAGAGAGTAAACCACACATGGGAGCAAAAATAACGATAAATAAATTATTTAAACAATATCGTGTTCTCGCTTTTGCGGCACGAGTTACAGACGACGTTTCTCAGGCAAAAAAAAAAAAAATAAGAAAAGAAAACCGTTCGAACAAAACGGTGGTGTTTTATTATTACTATTATTATTACTATTATTAATTATTATTGTTGAAACTTCTATTGATTTCTTTGTGCGTATGTGTGTGCGTGTGTGTGTTTGTGTTTGTTTACAGAGTTTTTGTTTAGCGTCTATTGAAAATATTATTATTGATTATTGTTTATAATTATTGATTATTATAATAGCGGTACATATTATTATTAATATTATATATTATATAGCGGTGTGTTGCGGGGTTCGGCGACGTCGTCATCAGTACCTACCGTATGTCGGATAGCGGTCGGAGTGGTAGTTGTGTGGGTAAATGTTCCTGGGCGAGATGCCGTATGTGTCCCTGGAGATCGGCAGGTAACGGTATCCGGGTGTGTTGATCCTGTCGGTCGGGTGCACGGGGTCGTCGTAGATGGACTTGAAGCTGGGCCATGTCGGGTAATCGGCGCTCAAGATCGGTCTGAACACTCCTCTGCTGCCGGGAGTGTGGTAGTGTGTGATTTCCGGTGCCCTCATGTCGTCCGATCCTGGTCAAACGAACGGAAATGTTATTACGATGACGAAAGCCTAAAAATATTATTGGCTTACGGATCCCTACTTGCGGCTGTTCACCTCATTGACTAATGAACAATGACAATATTACCATATCAATATTTAGTAACTCTCTACTCAGATGATCAATTTAAATGGAAACTTTTTATAAAATCATAATACATATAGCTCGATACTACTCTAGTTTAAATACATTGACTAGGAAGTATTTTTGGTGTGCTAACTATTTTGAGATTTTTGGTGCAAAGTTAACATACGAAGTCTCAAAGTCCCCTCTCAAAATCGTGTCCATGCACTAATCTCGAATGTAGACTATACGCGAAATTCATTGGCATGTGTGTTTAGATGACTAAACAGTTACACATATTTTATCATTGTTGAAGAATTTCGTAATAATATTGTTATAATAATGTAATAGCAATATTCTCATCTCGGAATGTATTTGAAAAAAAAAATATATATAGTTTTAAATATTTAATACATTCTATTATTAAGAAAATAAATAGTTTTTGTATAAAAATTTAGATGCAATCGAAGTGTAACGTCAAAGACGACTTTAAGTTAACATTTTGTGATATGCGTAGTATAAATTTGAAATAATATAATGAAATCGTACAATAAAATGAAATCAGTGTTCAAATATGAGATGGCATGAAAAATGTATTAGCCTAGTTTTTTTCGAACGTTGATACAGAGGAGTTTTAACGATCTTCAGAATAGATTTTAGTGTAAAAACGTTCCAATTAAAATTCGTCTAAGAGTTGTTTTGGTGACATAAAAACGGTTAAGGATCAAAACGATCATTGCATATGATATTCGCGTGATAAAAATTGCGTTCAATGTAATACTCAAAGCCTATTCATCCTACTTTCTACACGACGGTGATAAATTTTAACTGTCTGTTGCTTATTTGTAATTTTACAGTCGACGGTAATGACCAAAAATAACTTATTTACCACACGTATTAAACGATACGTCGGAGTGTGCAGACACACCGGGATAAAATTGGCCTTTTTTTTTTTTTAAATTTTTTTCCATTTTTAACTATTCGGTACATCCATAGTGTGATATATCTATCTATATAATTTACGCGAAAAATGATAGTATTAAAAATAAAATAAGTGCTTGTACCTTTTAATGCTCTGACGTAGGATTGCCAGAATTTGGCTTTTCTCTGGATTGGCTCGTTCCTTCCGATCATATCAAGATGTTGTTTCAACATTTTTGTTTTCTTATAATTGACCTGCGGCTACTGTGTAATAAATTTAAAACAAGAGACTTCCTGTAAAATACACAAAAAAAAGAAATTTCGTTTAGTTATAGACGCTGTGACCCTCTTTAACATGTGGAGGACTTGACAAGGGTTCGCGGTCGTGTGACCGACATTCAATTACCGTGTAACGGTGGGAGAATATTGTCTGTTTGCTGAAATGAATTTCATGTCGATTGAATGGTCAACTGTAAAAATACTTTGTCTATACTTCTATACTTCTATAATGACATTCAGAAAACCTATTACTCTTAATCGAATAATCGAATGTTTTGCATGTGTATTTTCAGGACTGTCCCTTTTCAATATCAATCGTTTTAGTTTCTTAATATGTACGCACATAGAAATACGGGCTTTTAAAATCAATAGAAAACGTTGTATACAAAACGTTACAAAACTGTTATAAAACATTAACCAACTAAACTTTTTGCTTTAAATCTATCTGTTAGTCAATAGTCGAAGACAACAATTCGAGATGAATAGAGCATTGATAAAAAATAATCCTGTCTTTTTTTCGATTTTATTCCTTTTCATTGAAAACCCGTTAGAATGATTGGTTTGCAATATGCACAACCTTTTAATTGCACTATGGTTCACAATTGATGGTAAATTAAAAAAAAATTAATAAATTATTGTTACATTACATATAATTTAAACATTGTAATGTATTTAAGAATTAGTGATACCTATGTTTGAAATTACTTAAATCATTATTCGGTTGGTAAATTTATTAAATACTGTTGTGATGATTGTTTAAAATAATTGAATTACAAGATCGATAGAAAAAACAAAAAAACCAAACAATTATAAGGGGTTTAGAATCATTACGAATTAATTTAGTAACACTTTATAGGATTGTTAAGACTATTTGAGATGCTTAAGATTAAGTCAGTTACCTGTGAACGATTCTGATAATACTTCACCAGTCAGTCAACCACGCAAGTTCTAAGTATACTGAGGATTTTTATTTATCAAACGATTACATTCGCATTTCCCGAACGACGCACGTATTGTTGTTTTGACCGAATAGTATTTATAATTTAACGCTCATTATGATAAATATTACGACCGATTGGAGGGGGGTAGTGAAACTAAAGTGTGGAATTGGCATCTGGAAATCGCTGGGGGGATAAGACGACAGTTTCCCGTGGGCTTTTTTTGGCATACATCGCCCCAGCCTGGTCTATTATTATACTCGCGATCTGCACGCATCTTTAAAAGCGACGCATGTTTATTGGTCGCTTGACCTTGATGGTGTTTCACTCTATTATTATGAATATTAAATTTTATTTTTCGTGTTATTCCTTTCCGTTAAATCATCCAAGATCAGGTGTTTTTTTCGCTCGAAAATAATAGTAAAATAAATGGAGATTTCGACTTGTCCTCGAGTTTTGCGGTAATGCTTAGGAGCAAATTTTTCAATAATAGTTGAAATAAATCGTATATGTACAACGGTGTTCATATGAAAAAACTAAGAATAATAGATAATATGTTTACATATTAAAATGTTACTGTTGATGTACCTAAATAATGTAGAAAAAAAAGAACTGTCTATTTATTAGTTGATGTTGGTAATAAATCGATTATGCAGGTGCTGTAGAAACTACTATTCCAATCTGAAAAATTAAATTTACCTCACTGTATGTATGCAAATTGTAATAAGAACATTTTTTGATATTATGCAATTATTTAACAGGCAATTGACTGATGCATGTATGAATTCGAAGCCAATTTATGGTTTTCAGACTTGTGTACAAATAGACGTTGAGCTTTGGCACTGGGTCAAGTATTTTCCTTGAGAAAGGTTAGGCCAACCGCTTTACGTTCAGCCGAGACCCATTTATATAATCTCATCTAAGGACGACTGACTAATGAGTTATTTAGAATTTTCAAGTATGTTTTTATAAATTTCGAAAGTGAAATCAATTTTCTGACCATTAATTTGTTTGGAGTACATTTACGTATAACAATTTAACAGTAAAAAAGTCTTTGTGGTTTTTGTTACCAATAAGAAATTTGAGTAACGATATTCATATAAAATGCCAAATTATATTTATAACAAATAAATTTGGCTAAAATCGTGTAGTAGGTGATATATGAATTATATAAATTATATACTATAGGTATGATTGTTAAAAAAATTATCGAACTCTATAGTATTGATTAACCTAATAACTCATATATTTTTCTGAGAGTAATAAAATTATATTATTTGTAACTGTCAGGTTAATTTTTTATTTTATTTTTTTTCCAAATTTTCAATAAAAATTTTGAAATAAATTCATATTTATTTTTAATAAATTGTAATAGGAGGTTTAAAAAAAATTATTCAATCTAATAATTATAATAACAATAATAGTCTTATTGGTTCCGTTAATCTTATTTTAAGATATCGGGACTTAAACTTATAAATCAAAGTTATAAATATTTATCGTGAACAGGATTTGAGTTTTTTTTTTTATTTATTTATTTTTTAAATTTTTTTCGTTATTAATTGTTGTGCAAACTATAATAGTAGACTTTAAAGATAGAAATCCCACTAACCACTAAACTACCGCTGTTATACCGACAATGGATGATGGCCAAGACTTATAATAAACTTGAGGAATCCGGGCCAACCACCGTTCGTTTGCACTTCGCTTATTTTGGACACACAATCAGACAGATCGAAAGCCCACTGACCGAAAAAGGGAAAACCTGAATAAGATTTTGCCGTAGGTTCGCCAATTAGGCTATGTAATATGAATTTAACAGGAGGTAAATAATTAATTAAAAAAAAAAACAAAAAAATTAAATATTTGTTGTGAAAGATAATATGGTATAACAACCAAAATGTTGATAAAATAGGTATTTAAATAATTGTAAGTTTACGAAAACAATCCTGAAGTATTTAAATTTTATCTTTTGTTGAAAATATTTTTTTTACAAGTATACTATTATAAAATAAATTTTTTCATAACAATTAACATCGCCTCTTAATATTCATCACAAAGGATTTATTAATTAATCATAAAATAATATATAAAGTAGAATATTTTATTATTACATTAATTTCCAATAGTATAAATTTGTCAAAATTATTCGAACATTTTCAAAATAAAAATTTGGCTTATAATCGAAGTTTGTGTATTTATAACGTTTAGATGTTGAATTGTTGATAGTATTACATATTAAAACGATAATAATTTACAATATTGTGAATTTTTTTTTTAATAATATTTTGTTTATTTATTATTCAACAGTTAATTGTACTTTCATCACAGTATTATAATAGATTCTTAAAGTATAAAGAAATATAAAAATGGAATTCTATAAATTAAAAAATACTAAATCGAGTAGATAATAATAGAATTTTAACTGGGATATGATATTTTAAGTCGTTAAAAATGTATATTATTGAGTTAAAAAATTTAAATTTATTATTTAAAATTATTTCCATTAGATATTATATTAAATAATAATATATTTGAATGAGAAGAATAAAAAATAATTTAAAAGTACATATTGATGTTAATAGTTTACCTGTTTAGTGTCTTGTTGCTTGAGCCGGTCCCTTCGCGCCACTGAATTATAACGGATGGTTCGTTTATTCAGTTGCCGTCACGGGGTCCCGCTCGAAATAGAAGAAGCTCGGATCTGACGAAACGCGCCTCCCATTTGTCCCCCAAACAATACACTAGCGTATTAATGTTATTAAAAAAAAAACCAAATCGTTATTTTTTTATTATTATTTTTTTTTTGGCTTTTCACAAGCTATTCATTTATGACGTGTCCGTTTGACCCTGCGTCGACTATTAAAATTGCACGGACATGTCACCACTTGCAAAAGCAGTGACTCGGACGGTCAGAAGTCGAGAAAAATATGTTTGAAAAAATAAACGCGTGGCAGTACGATCAGGCCAAATGGGGAAATCGAGTAAATATAATTTAGGACTGTTTGCAAACCATTTTTCGTTATCTTATTGCTCATTACACCGCTGACAAAACCTATGGGAAATTAAACTGTATTGCAGTATTAACATGACGTGTCTAAAAATATTTAAAAATTCACTGCTTTAGCTATCATATAGGTTTAACACAGATTGGACCGTTTAGTACTTGTGTATTTGGATTTCATGAAAGTAAATCAAAAGAACTGTTTGCGTTAAATTATACTATAAGTGCGTTTGGGTTAAACAGGAACACAATATTAATAAAATATTTTAATTATATTTTATACTTTAAATTCAGTATTTAATTTCCATGCTATACATTTTTTGCACTTTCGCTCATATAACTAAATAGTAAAGTTGTAATTCATGAAGTATGGAATCTTACAAGTATACCCAATGCATTGTTGAAAATCATTTAAAAGTTTAAATCAATTTATTTTTCAACATTGGTTACGATATGGTCATTTGATTAATTTAAAACGCTATTATAATTCGATAACCGGGCAAAATTGTGAGGAAAAAATACAAAAAAATTTAAATAGCGAAGACATAGTTTAATAATAAAATCAGATATCAGTCCATTACAGTAATAACTTATAAGTATGAAAACTGTACAGAATGTTCATATATTTTTATGGAGCATATAATCCTACCTTACAACGGAGATTGATCTATGTTTTGAAAGAACAGAAACGGTTTAAAAAAATTGAACAAGAATAGTTCATTGTCAGGACGAAAACAATATATAGGTACATATAAACATATAAATTATTCAAAATATATATACGTAACATCATTTTAGCTTACGCATATATATATATTAGCTTATAATTCTAATTTTTAAGGACAATATAAGTTATATAAAAAGTATCGCTTATAAATTAATCTTAAAAATTTAGATTCGTTATTTGTAATAAATATATGTTAAGGTGTTTGTTCGCAGTAGGCGAATGTTGACAGTCACCGGTGTATGTTCACATTTACCAAAAATCGTAGTGAATGTTGACAAAATGGTCTTATATACCGCGTTATACGCGTTCATATACCAGTGATTGTTGACATGTACCATCAGTGTTTGGTAAATGTTGACCATATTTGAAGCACGATGTATGTAAAAGGTATTTTTGTATTATTTTGTTGGATCGATAACATTTTCGATTGTTGTAATAAATAAAAATATGTATAAAAAATTACTATAAAAACTATATATTAAAAAATTAATTTGTTAAACTATAATTATTTATGAATTTGATATCTATTTGATTATATATGTTATCAGACATGTAAAAATTCACTAAATAACTATTGCGCATGTCAACAAATACTGGTAAATGTCCGCATTGTGAGATATTTGAAATAATTGATAACATTCATCAAAATGATCGGTAAATGTCAATATACACCGGTGACTGTCAACATTCACTGTCATGCGGTCAAATAATACAATATAATAAAGTACAATACCTTTTGAGATTAAAAATAACTTAAATACATTTGCTATTATGTTTTCACTATTATGGCCCAGAACCTATTATATGGACAAATAATTAATAATGTCCCAGTGAATTATTATTATGAAAAATATTTTATTATATTTATGTAAGATATTAAATTTCACAAAAATACTATAAAAGTTAAAGATACAGTCATAATTTTAAAGTCAGAAATTTAAATGTAACGTAATTAAATATTTTTGTCAACTTTATAACGTTTGTTAAACTTAAAGTTTCTATTTAAAGTTTAACTTTAAGTGCCTTTAAGTGTCTTGTTATTTGACTAAAAATGTCTTTCGGATCAATATTTATCCGTTCTTAAAATCAGAAATAATTAATAGATTATGGATCAATGGAGTTTTAACCTCGACTTTTTTGTTTTTTGTAAAATATTTTTATGGTTACACAGATATATTGAAGAACTTCAAGTGATTTAACTTGGGCGTTAACCTGCAACGCGTCAGAGAATTGAATTTGTTATTTTTTACCTTCAAAGCTAAAACGATATTTGTACGTTCAATAAAACGATTATTGCTCCCAGACGTTGGCCTAGTGTAAGAAAGTGAATCATTGGGCCCCCGCCC